CTGATTCCAGGAAGCCCGGGGCAGAGCAACTCTGCCTCGGGCTTCCTGTAGTCAGCCACTGGTCAGTTTCAGCAGCGGCTGAATCTGGACGCCAGTTCCGACTTACATACAGATTCAACTTAAGAACAAACCTACAGTCCCTATCTTGTATGTAACCCGGGGACTGCCTGTATAACAAAAAGTTAACTATTATTAGTTACAAAACTAAAAAGGCAAAACATTTACACAATGGATATAAGTAAAATGTGATTATATATCAGAAACAAAATGTAATGAAAGATTACTTTTTAAATAATGTAAAATGTTATGTCATCTAAACAATAATGATCAGCTGGAGTGTGAGAGAGTGTGGTACCCTGATAATATAATGTGACATTGTCAATTTAAAAAAATTATACTTACATCTGATTAAAAAAAATCCTTGTATTCAGGTAACATCTGTGGCACTGATATTTTAGTCTCATCCAAATGGGCAATCTCCTACTTCTGCGCAGAGCTCCACTGACTTCACTGAGTCTCTACAATAGTTTAAGGGTCACCACATGAATTAGATTGCAGAACTCAGCCTAAAATTACTGTAAATGGAAAGATCACAGATCAGAGAATTTTCTTTTTCTCAGTTTATTCTGTGCATTTGTAGAGGCAGTTTCAGTGGTTTCCCCATGTGATCGGTTTCCCTTTTTGGTTGTGTGGATCACATACAAAAATGCAACAAAAGGGGAAAGGAATTAAAAGAAAAAAGAAGAAGAGGAGGAAAATGTAATTGCAAAGCCACAACAAACTGGCATGGGTAAAAACAGGAGTAGGTAAAGCAATTCAAGATACTTTCAACTCAGTTTTTACAAATTTGCTAGAATTCAAGTTGACTGTATTGATGTAACTTGGCAATATGATTGGTACATTTTACAAATTATGACTTGGTAACACAAAACCAACAACTCTTTTAATGTTAAATGCTCTTTATTATTGTCTGCAATCCTATTATTGTAAAAGGGTCACATATATCTTAAGTTCAATAAAGCTATCAAATTGGTAATCAACCAAAAAGCCAAAAACTAAAAAATACTTGTTTTGATTTTTAGGCAACATCCTCTTGGAGCATAAGCAAATGTGTTTCTGGATTTCAATGAAAGC